TTTTAATTAAGGTTTTGTGCCACGCGAATCTTTAATAACCGAGGTAGGAGAAAAGGACATCGTACGCCCCGCGGTTAGAGAACACTGCTGCAAGTTCAGCATTTTCTTGGAGAATTTAGGACACCTCATTTAAACTATACCCGGGACTTTTAAAACACCCGTTTGCTGGAAGAAATTCAGGGTTCTATAATTAGCAATTCCATGTAAGAGAGATAAGAAAGTTTAATTTGATATTGCGGATTCAATGACTTTCGGGTCTCCAAGCACTTCATGAAAACCTGACTCAATATTCGGCAGTTTTTCAAGGCATACCCCTCGCCAGGGTATCTTTTTTCTGTACATGCGCTCCGCATTCTTCAGTCCCTGGTCGGGAGACTCTTTTTTGGTTAGAATCACATATTCAGCCTCGCTATTCTGGACTATCTCACAATCAATCAAGCTCATTATATGTTGGCTTTGAATTACAAGGAGCAGGTGTAAGGGGCAGATAAGGTATCAAGATGTCTTTTTGTCGGTGGTGCAAAGATGCGGTTCTTCAGTGCTGAGTGAACAGCCAAGGTCGAGCGTAATCCCCTCCCAATGGTCCCCGATTTTCACAGTTTGAGCGCGTCTATAGGGGTTTGAGGTTGAAACGGCCACACGATGACCTGATATGACAGCTTCGGGGATTGAAGTATTAATCTTGTTTCTCTAGTTCCGGCTTTGTACTGACGGCGAGCTCAATATTTAATGAACATGTTTCATTTTTCATAATCTTCCCCTCAGTCTCTCTTAAAAGACTAAACAAAATCCTCAGTGTATCAATTGTTCAACAGCTTAATCTGTGGTAGCTATAGAAGCTGATAACATTTAGCCAAAATAATGCATTTTCCCTGGTGTACATGTTGCCCTTTATTCAAACAAAAAAATACATGGCAAAAATAAATGTTGCTCATTCCTGGGGTCACTAGTCACTGTATATATTGTCATCCATACACCTTGGCTGCATTCCAGTGTCCATCCCTCCCCTCTGGTTGGCAAGTGGGCCATATGTGACCATAATTCTCCCTAGCAAGCCACAGCTGCATGTGTTAAACTGTAAGAACAAATGCATGTTCAAAGAGGGGCATGAAAAGATCCACATGCCATGACAGATAGGAGAAGTTTAGTTCAGCACATTCATGCATGGATAAAACCGGATGGCGACATGGTGATGACAAAATATGTATTGTCGTTGATAAAAATATTGGTCAATGAGCACATGGAGCAAGGATGCAGCAAACTCAGAGCGATCATTAAAAATAATCTAGTGCCCCCATGTGGACATACTTTTTTTACGTGCTTTTCTGTGATGGGATCAGCCACAACATTAAAACCACTGAAGGTGAGGTGAATAACACTGCTTATTTTGTCACAGTGGCACCAGTCAAGGGATGGGATATACCTGTATTAGGCAGCAATTAAACAGCCAGTTCTTAAAGTATATGCGTTGTAAGCAAGAAAAATGGGCAGGTGTAAGTATCTTAGCAGCTCTGACAAGGGCAGATGTGATGGCAAGACCACTAGATCAGAGCATCTCCAAAACGACAGGTCTTTTGGTTTTTCCCTAGCACAAAATGATAAGTACCTACCAAAATTGTCCAAAGAAGAACAACTGGTGAACTGGCGGCAGGATTGTGGGCATTGAAGGTTTACTGGGGGAAAGATGGCACCAGGATGCTCTATGGAAAGGGAAAAAAAAAGCCAGCAGAGGCAGTGTGATGCCCCAAGCATCTGCTGGGAAGCCTGGCATACATGTTGATGTTACTTTGACACGTAACGCCTACTTAAACATTGTTGTAGAACATTTACATCATTACATGACAATAGTATTCCCTGACAGTGGCCCTTTTCAAGATAAGATAAGATAACCCTTTATTGATCCCCCAAAGAGGGAAAATCAGTTTGTTGCAGCAACTCACAGTAAAAAAAACAAGATAGACAAGTTGACAATAACAATAGCAAAAAGAATCAGACATAAATTTATAAAAAAGTTAAAATAAAATAGTAAAAATACAGAGAAATAAATATATATACACTATGCACACCTCCACTAGGTTACACAGATAAATATATATACTCTAGTCATTTTTAATAAGTGAAAAAAGTGACTGGTGACTGATTAGGCGGTGAGGCAGTTGAACAGTCTGATTTCTGTTGGGATGAATGACCTGCGGAAGCGCTCCTTTTTGCGGGGTGGGTGGAGCAATCTGCTGCTAAAGGTGTCATGCAGTGGGTGAGTGGGATTGTTCATGATGGATGTCAGCTTAGCCGACATCCTCCTTTCCCCCACCTCCTTCACAGATTCCAGGGGACAGTCGAGGGCTGAAAAGGCCCTCCTGACCAGTTTGTCTAGCCTTTTCCTGTCCATTTCAGTCCAACCACCCACCCCCAGCAGACCACAGCATAGAAAAGTGCAGATGCCACCACAGGATCATAAAAGGTTCTCAAAGGTGTCCTGCATGCACCAAAGGACCTCAGTCTCCTCAGGAAGTGAAGGCGACTTTGGCCCTTCTTGTACAGGATGTTCATCTTGAGAGACCAGTCCAGTTTGTCGTTGAGGTGAACACCCAAGTATTTGTACGACCCCGCCCTTTCAATGTCCAAAGCTTAGATGTTCACCGGTGCGGTCTGGGGTGCCCTTCTCCAGAAGTCGATCATCATCTCCTAAGTCTTCTTGATGTTAAGCTGAAGGTGGTTACGCTCACACCAGTCCACAAAGTCAATGATGACCTTCCTGTCGTACCCCTGCACACACCCCTGGCTGTGTCGTCAGAGAACTTCTGCAGGTGGCAACTCCCAGAGTCGTAGCTGAGGTCCGATGCGTAGAAGGTGAAGAGAACGGGAGAGAGCACCATTCTCTGTGGAGCACTTGTGCTGCAGATCACAGTGTCAGACACACAGTTGTGGAGCCTCACATACTGTGGTCTGTTGGTGAGGTAGTCCAGTGTCCACGCAGCCAGATGATGGTCCAATCCTGCTCTTTCCAGCTTTTCCCTGAGCAGTGCTGGCTGGATGGTGTTAAAGGCACTGGAGAAGTCAAAGAACATGACTCTCACCGTGCTACCGCTATAGTCCAGGTGAGCCAGGGACCGATGCAGCAGGAACATGAAGGAGGAAGATTTCAGCAGGATAATGCACCCTGTTGCACTGCAAAAAAATGTTTAGGAATATAATAAGGAACATGACAAAGAGTTCAAGGTGTTGACTTTGCCTCCAAATTCCCCAGATCTCAGGATAATCAAGTATCTGGGGGATGTGCTAGTAAAACAAGGCCAATCTATTCAGGCTCCTCCTCGCAGCTTACTGGACTTAAAGGATCTGCTGCGAGTGTCTTGGTGCCAGATGCCACAGGGCACCTACAGTGGTTTTGTGGAGTCCTTGCCTCGAAGTGTCAGACCTATTATGGCAGCAGAAGGGGGATGTACTCAATATTAGGCTTATGGTTTTGAAGGTTGTGGCTGATTGGTGTACACATATATGTACAACTCCATTTCCAAAAAAAAAGTTGGGATTTTTATATACACAGCCAGATGGATATATTTTTATACAGTGCTTAACAAATTTATTAGACCACCTGTCATAAAAAAAATGAGAAAACACAAATATTTAAGATTTTTGTCAAAAACTTGTTTAGAACTAAAAATTATTTTGTTATTTCTTTAGCAAACAATGAACTGAAACTACATATTCACATATAAAACAAAACAAAAAATATATATATTTTGTATGGCCTCCTTTGGCCTTGATAACAGCTTGCATTCTTGCATTCAACTACTAAAACTAATTTTAAAAAATAATAATGTGCTTAACTATTTTTTTCTGCTTTTTTGTAAAACGGTAAATTTGAAAATTCATGGATAAAAACAATTATTATATTTTAGTATTAAAAATATCATTTCAGTTAAAGAGCTTGTGCATACTGGTGGATTAACCATTACAGAAACATAAAAATTATTTTGGGAATTACCAACACTGTTAATTTAGCCAACACTGTTACTTTGGACTTACTGGCTTCTTCCACATCATTTCACACTGGAACTGTACAGAAGAAATGCACAGGTTTCCAAAAAAAAAACACCAAACAAAGAAATGGCAAAAGCTAGTAAATACGTGAAACATTTTAGTAAGAGCACATACTATTATTTGTCACAGCCAGCTTCAGAAACCAGAAGTTAGTAAGTGCACTTACTAGCTTTTGGCTCCTCAGTATCCTGCGGCATACAGTAGTAAGTGCACTTAATGGCTTTCTCCGCTGGCCTTGAATGCTTGTACTGAAGCAAAGAAATAAGTTTCAAATAAGGAGAAAAAAAGAAGACATTTGTATTGAGGATGCTATTCTGTTAGTTCCCTGCTCAGAAAGGTGACATATGATGAAAATATATGACTTGCCATCTTTTTTCGTGATAATAGGAGAGGTGGAAAAAGATAGTAAATAGCATTAAATAAGGTTATGTAATCAATTTCTGGATTCCAGTGATAGAGGTTCAAATATAGTGTATCGGGGGTGATTCTACCATGCCGTCTGTCAGATTTATGTTGCATGACCTTATTGACTGGGTTGGATATGTTTTCCCCATGTTTCTCAAAATGCCTGAAATATGACTTACTAGCATTTTTCATTTAACGCCAGATATTAGAGATGAAACTAAATAATGAAAATAAGATCTGGGAGCAGATTTTCAGCTTTAATTTAAAGGTACTTGCCAGTAAACTGAGTGAGTGGTGAAGGAATTATAAGATACACTTTATTGAACCCCGTGGGGTAATTTGTCCTCTGCATTTAACCCATCCTATTGTTAGGAGCAATGGGCAGCCACAGAGCAGTGCCCGGGGACCAACTCCAGTCCTAAAGCCAGATCCTTGGTCGAAGGTACAGTACCGCTAGGAGTGTTCCTATGTTTTTCTAGGTGGGAGAAACTGGAGTGCATGGAGGAAACCCACGCGAACACGGGGAGAACATGCGAACTCCACGCAGAGAAGGCCACAGGCTGGATTCCAACCCACAACCTTCTTGCTGTGAGGCGGTAGTGCTAACCACTGCTCCACCGTGCCGCCATTATGGTACTTTTTATATGTAGTCTCACCCTTTTTTAGAGACCAAAAGTAATTGGACATTTGTCGTGCAGCTGTTCATTATTTCATGTATAGATAAGCAGATCAAATCTATAGAGTTGATTTTTAATTTGGCATTTGCAAATGGAATTCTTAGCTGTTCACCTTAAAAAGCCCAAAGAGCTGTCACTGCTAGTGAAGCAAGCAATTATTAGGGTGACAAAATCACAACAAAGCTCCAGAGAAATAGCAAATGCATCAGGTGTGGTCAAATGAATGATTTTCATTGACTATTGACGATAAAGAATGCTCTAATGAGCTCAGGAACACCAGAAGACCTGGAAGCCCATGGATAACTGTGGTGGCTGGCAAATGATTTTTTTCCCCGGTGAAGGAAAATCCTCTCACTACAATTGGCAAGATCTGGGACACTTTCCACGGAATAAACATTTCTGTTTCAATGTCAACAATCAAGAGAGGACTGCACCAAATTAGATACAAGGGGTTTGCGCCAAGATGTTAAACATTGGCACCTCTCAAAATCAGGAATTTTAACAGAAAACATAAACGAGGCTGTACAGGTCTGGAACAACATCCTATAGGCAGATGAGAAAAATATCAACTTGTACCAGAATGATGGGAAGACAAGAGTATGGAGCAAGGACGAAAGTGCTCATGATTCAAAGCATACCACCTCATCAGTGAAGCTTGGTCATGTGTGGGCATGTATGGCTGTCAGTGGAACCATTTCTATTGCACAGTATGCACTGATGATATGACTACTGAAAAAAGCAGCCAGATGAATTTTCAAATCTGTGATGCTGTATCATCTGCTCAGATTCAGCTAAATGGTTCCAGCAGACTGCAAAACCAACTCAACAATTTCCAAGGCCAAGAAATGGAATGTTCTTCAATGGGCAGGTCAATCACCTGTTCTGCATGCAAGTGATTATGCTTTTCATTTGCTGATGGCCAAACTAAAGGGAAAATGCTCAAAACAACTGCAGTGAAGGCCTGGCAGAACATCTGCAGGGAAGAAACTCAACATGTGAAGATGTCTATGGGTTACAGACATCTGGCATCACTGACTTCAAGGGATTTGCAATAAGGTATTGAAAATGACAATCAAATTTATGATTGTGTTTGTTTGTCGGAATATTCTAGAGATCTTAAAACGGGGGGGCAAGTTGCTCTGGGTGATTAATCGAATCGTGATTATTTTAAGCTCAGCAAAAGTAACTGCCAATATGGGGCAGATAAGCCTGCTTATTACCTTTTCTATGACGAAAACCTAATGCGTTGTTGAACAAACATAAGAGGCCATTTGAAATGCTTCCGGGAATAGAACTGCGATTTGAAGTCTGCTAATTACCAGCGAGGTGGAACAGCTTACCTGAAATCAATTTCCATGTACTTTGCCTAACTTGCAATCAAGCAGTCAATCAAGGGGGAGACTATGCACAAATATTGCAGTGATAGTTTTTGAAAAATCCTTAACTTGAAGCCTGAGCTATATACCCGCAATATCAGATCACTCAGACAACAGTGCATCATTACTTTGGGAAACCTTTATCAAGCACTAAATATGTAGTCACATCCACAAATGCCAGTTAAAACTCTACTGAGCAAAATTAAAACCTTGTATTTACACTGTCCAGATGTACAGTACCATTGACTTCCCTAGGCTTGGAGGGATCTGTGATGGTCCATCACACAGTACAAGGTTGCATTCTGGTCACAGAAATGCCACCCACCCACACACACACACACACACACACACATATATATATATATATATATATATATATATATACACCAAGACAATACGGAAATAAGCAATTAATAACATATAATACATATTCAAATGAAGTGGCAGCATTTGTATACATGACCTGGCAACTTTTTGAACCCATTTTGGTCACAAACCATTTGCTAATAAGACAAGAGCTCTTCATGGCCTTTTCATAGAGCTTGCACAAAGAACCAGTCACCTTAGTGGGTATGTTAGCTAAAATGTCATGTCAATGGCAACAGATTGTTACATTTTTGAGATGTATTACTCATGGACATGACTTAGTTTTCAAATAACATATGAGCATAACCAGCTTTAATAGTGCAAAAAAATAATGGCTTAATAAAATGGCTTATCTTGTTCTTTTTTTTGGAAGTACTATTTTTATTTATTCATGCGGTGTGCTGATGGGTGACTGAGTATTTGTCAAATCATAGGGGGATTATACAAAAAAAAAACTGCATTATATTAAAATCCAATCTGAATAATTGGTGTTTGATTTGGCACGTTTAATCGTGTTTTGAAATGGGATGCACAAGAGTGACTAGTTTCTTATCATTATAGCAGTGTGCTCCTCATGTGCGAGTGGAAGGCGGATCTGATCTCATCCTCATTTTGGTGCAGAAAGGGTTAAGAACACTTTCGCCTCCAGCTCACTGAGCAGTGTATTAACTGATGCGGAGTCGCATGACAGCTCCACAGCAAAAAAAAAAAAAAAAAAAAAAAGACTGATCAAATAATGACAAGAACATCAAGAAATGCAAGTATTCTGACTTGTTGTTATCCTCAAGATGAAATGAATCTCCATAAAGCGGATGATTTTTAATGGCATCACATATCATTCGCCCGTCAAACTGTGGCCAGTAAAAGTGAGACAACCTACCTTTGAAAGACAAAATTTTTGGTAATGACGGTTTTTATTTGTCTGGACGTGTTTAAGTCGATTTATCCCACAAAGTCATTCAAGGGAGCACAATACTGCAATTGGGTTTTTTTTTTCTTATTGAATTCATGAATTTAGATCTGTACTGTAATTCAGCAAGAAGCCATCGGGTGGCATATACATTCTGGGTGGCTGACGTCATGACAAAGAGAATGGTGGAGGATATGCAACTCGGGTCTTCTTCCCGGAAGGAAACCGCCTGCTGAAAATAAATGGGTTATTTTTTGTCATTCGTTTGCAGAAGTAAGTATCGGAAACATTCCTTCTACTTTGTGACATGTAACAACAAAGAAACAGTAGAGTATCTCTGTGAGCAGTTGAACGTTAGCTTGTATCTACACGCTCGCAGTGCTTGGTATGATTTTTAGAAGGGTTACTGTGTGGCCGAGCAATATTCTTTGGGAAAACGATTTTAATATTTTGCATGACACTGCAATGTGGACTATTTATTGGTGATTTAATTTGCGCTGGTCATGCTTTCATTTAACTGGATTATATTATTACGTTACTGAAGCCACCGAAGATCATCACAATGGGACATTTGCTTACTTTTGTTGGTATTCGTTTTGTGAATATACGACTGGCCGGATAGGATGTCATTACCTTTGGGTACTTCCTGTGCCCACCAACGTGCCCGATGTGAATTTCAGTGTGTTGCAATGCCGCTGGTTTCTATTAGAGCTTGTCCATCGCTGCATATCGTTTAAGTGGTTTATTGTAAAGCTTGATAGGGATGCTTTTATCGCCTTGGGTTTCACAAACCTCCTGGAAAACCGCTTGTCCTTCGTGTGTTAGATCACTCCCTGATCCTGCACAGATAATTCAAACGCTCTTTATCAAGCAATTACCTGGGGAGCGTTTCCCAAAAGCGTAGTTGCTAACTAAGTCAGCAATTTTCATAGTTTGTCCATTCACAGTCAGTGGTTCCAACTATGTAAGTAAAAGCAATTGAAATTTCGGGAAACGCACCCCTGATCGTTTGAATCACCCATTCTGGAGCAAAGAGAGATCTAAAATATGCAGGACAAGTGGTACTTATGGGGAGGTTTGGGAAATAAAGCACTTTTAAAAAGGAAACACTACTCTTGCTTACAATTAAATAAATGGGTCGCAGCTACTCGGATTTGAAAAGGTAGCATAGGTTTCTCAAATAAATAAACTAAATTTAAATAAATAAAATAAAATCATGAACTACCAGACTTTGAACTTTTGGTGAGCTACACGAGTGCAGTTGTGATGCCAGTTGGTTCCACTTCCTGAAATGCACGTGTTCATCTGTAAACTTGGATGCGTAACTGATGACATACATTTCCGTTTTTCTCCAGGTATGCTTTTAGAGGTGGTAAAACCAGAGTAATTTCTACTGTCCAATGCTTTACTATGTGCTTGCTTAATGTGTTTACAGAAATTATGTAGATATGACATGGTGCATGGCAGCAGAGTTCAGGAGGAGAGAAGCAGCAGGATATTTTGAGCTTTTTGAATCTTCCATGCGGCAATGGCGGGGGAAGCCAAGAGCAGAAGGCTGTTTGAGGATTTGGAGTTTCCACCAGATGAGTCCTCCCTGTTCTCCGATTACACCGCTCCCATCTCAGAGTTTCAGGACTGCATCACCTGGATGCGGCCACAGGTGAGGGCTGAGCGTAGGGTGTTAACAAGTTTTTCACGAAATGTTATTACCTGTTTATGCTTCTCGAACTTTAGACCATGATTTAATTAACCATATGGTGGCGTTTCTTCCAGGAAATCTGTACATCACCCAGAATGTTTCCGGAAAATCCAAACGAGGCCCACGTGAAGCAAGGGATTCTGGGAGATTGTTGGTTCTTGTGTGCCTGTAATGCTCTGCTGAAGAATGAACACTTGATGAACAAGGTACCCAATGACTCAATTACTTACAGCAAAGAAGATTGAGTATATCAGTGACAGTCGCTCTGTTGAAATTAGAGAAGCCAAAAAAAAAAAATCCCTTTTAGCTAAAAAGTATTGATCGGTTTTCAATCACTCAATGATTTTTCTTGCTTAACAAGTTTTCCAATGATGAAAATAATCCATTGGCTGTTAAACACGCAGCTTCCTTCTTAATGCAATGTTGTGGCGATTAAGGTGTGAATTAAATTCCAAAAAATGTCATATACACCTCACAAAAAAATGAGAAACTACATTGTTAACTTCTTTGTTTGCTTTTAGCACATCCTGCAATGTAGGTCATCTAACCTGCGCCTCATGATTGTTCAAATTACAACAAAAGAACCATGAGCAACA